ATACATTAAAAGGATCATCCACCACGACCAAGTGGGATTTATCCCTGGGATGCAAAGGTGGTTCAACATTCGCAAATCAATCAGTATGATAGAACACATTAATAAGAGGAGGGAGAAGAACCATATGGTCCTCTCAATTGATGCAGAAAAAGTATTTGACAAAATACAGCATCCTTTCTTGATTAAAACTCTTCTGAGTATAGGGATAGAGGGAACATTCCTCAAGTTCATAAAATCCATCTATGAAAAACCCACAGTGAATATCATCCTCAGTGGGGAAAAGCTGAGAGCCTTTCCCTTAAGATCAGGAACATGTCAAGGATGCCCACTGTCTCCACTGTTGTTCAACATAGTACTAGAAGTCCTAGCCGCAGCAATCAGACAACAAAAAGAAATAAAAGGTATTCAAATTGGCAAAGAAGTCAAACTCTCTTTTCGCAGATGACATGATACTTTATGTGGAAAACCCAAAAGACTCCACCCCCAAATTACTAGAACTCATACAGCAATTCAGTAATGTGGCAGGATACAAAATCAACGCACAGAAATCAGTTGCTTTCTTATACACTAACAGCGCAACTGTAGAAAGAGAAATTAGAGAAATGATTCCATTTACAATAGCACCAAAAACCATAAGATACCTCGGAATAAACCTAACCAAATTGGTAAAGGATCTATACTCTAGGAACTACAGAACACTCATGAAGGAAATTGAAGAAGACACAAAAAGATGGAAAAAATTCCATGCTCATGGATTGGAAGAATAAACATTATTAAAATGTCTATGCTACCCAGAGCAATCTATACGTTCAATGCCATCCTGATTAAAATTCCAGTGATGTTTTTCAAGGTGCTGGAACAAACAATCCTAAAATTTGTATGGAATCAGAAAAGACCCCGAATCGCCAAGGAAATGTTGAAAAAGAAAAACAAAGCTGGGGCATCACGTTGTCCGATTTCAAGCTATATTACAAAGCTGTGATCACCAAGACAGCATTGTACTGGCACAAAAACAGACATATAGACCAATGGAACAGAATAGAGAATCCAGATATGGACCCCCAACTCTATGGTCAAATAATCTTTGACAAAGCAGGAAAAAACATGCAATGGAAAAAAGACAAGTCTCTTTAATAAATGATGCTGGGAAAATTGGACAGCCACATGCAGAAGAACGAAACTCGACCATTCTCTAACACCATTCACAAAGATAAAAGTGGATGAAAGACCTCAATGTGAGACAGGAATCCATCAAGATCCTAGAGGAGAACACAGGCAGTCACCTCTTTGACATCGTCCACAGCAACTTCTTTCAAAATACATCTCCAAGAGCTAGTGAAACAAAAGCAAAAATGAACTTTTGGGACTTCATCAAGATAAAAAGCTTCTGCACAGCAAAGGAAACAGTCAACAAAACAAAGAGGTAACCCACAGAATGGGAGAAGATATTTGCAAATGACACTACAGATAAAGGGCTTGTATTTAAGATCTATAAAGAACTTCTTAAACTCAACACCCAAAAAACAAATAATCAAGTCAAAAAGTGGGCAGAAGATATGAAAGGACACTTCTCTGAAGAAGACATACAAATGGCTAACAGACACATGAAAAAATGTTCATCATCATTAGCCCTCAGGGAAATTCAAATCAAAACCACATTGAGATACCACCTTACACCAGTTAGAATGGCAAAATTGGACAGGGAAAGAAAGAACAAATGTTGGAGAGGTTGTGGAGAAAGGGGAACCCTCTTACACTGTTGGTGGGAATGCAAGTTGGTACAGCCACTTTGGAAAACAGTGTGGATGTTCCTCAAAAATTTAAAAACAGAGCTACCCTATGACCCAGCAATTGCACTCCTGGGTATTTACCCCAAAGCCACAGATGTAGTGAAAAGAAGGGCCATATGCACCCCGATGTTCATAGGAGCAATGTCTGCAATAGCCAAACTGTGGAAAGAGCCGAGATGCCCTTCAACAGATGAATGGATAAAGAAGATGTGGTCCATATATACAATGGAATATTACTCAGCCATCAGAAGGGATGAATACTCAACTTTTACATCAACATGGATGGGGCTGGAGGAGATTATGCTAAGTGAAATAAGTCAAGCAGAGAAAGTCAATTATCATATGGTTTCACTTATTTCTTGAACTTAAGGAATAGCATGGAGGACACTAGGAGGAGGAAGGGAAAAAAGAGGCGGGGGGGAATTGGAGGAAGAGATGAACCATGAGAGATTATGGACTCTGAGAAACAAACAGGGTTTTAGAGGGGAGGAGGGAGGGGGGATGGGTTAGCCTGGTGATGGGTATTAGGGAGGGCACGTACTGCATGGAGCACTGGGTGTTATATGAAAACAATGGATCGTGGATCACCACATCAAAAACTAATGATGTATTGTATGGTGACTAACATAACATAATAAAATTAAAAAAAAAAATCAGTAGATGGTAGGGCCAAGACTACAGTCCAAGAGCAATCTGACTTTCAGGGCAGAGCTCTTGTAACACAATATATTGTATCATTCAAATCAACTCGAGGTGGAATCAGTAGATTGAAGATTAGTGTTCTTCAAAGGCCAATTCTGGGGCATTTTTCTTTTCTAAGATTTTATTTATTTATTTATTTATTTATTTATTTATTTATTTATTTATTTGAGAGATCATGGATGTGTGTGCACACAGGAGAGGTAGAGGGGGAGGGAGAGGAAGAGGGAAAGAACCCCAAGCAGATTCCATCAAATGCAGAACCCAACTCTGGGGCTTGATCTCATGACCCAGAGGTCATGACCTGAACCAAAATCAAGAGCCAGATGCCCAACTGACTGAGCTGCCCAGGTGCCCCTGGCGCATTATTCTTAATAAGAAAAGGGAACTTATGCTGATTATTTCAAATAATTTTGAGTTGGGCATTATTTCCAGGCATTTGGGAAGACAGAAATACGTGTCTAAGTTACCAAAATAAATCAGACAAATGATTTTGCATAAAAATTATAGAATATTTAAACTGGAAGGGACCTTAGAGACCATTTACTTTCAATGATCTAATTTTAGAGGCAAACAACCTGAGACCCAGAGAAGATAAGTGACTTGGGAGCCAGTGTAATTTAAAAGAGTACTGTGCTAGAAAGTTGTAAGGGTAGTGTGCTGGAACTGGCTTGAGAAAGTCAGTTGTTTAATTTTTGGGAATTTTTGTGAGCCCTTTGTTGAATACATTCATGATTAAAAATTAGATATAAATGCATAAATTATACTAAAAACAAAGATATATGCTCAGATGCATTCTTTACTAATTATTTTAACATATATTTTTGTTATTATCTATTTTCTTGAAATTATTTAGTGTAACTGTATGGTACAGATGCATTATGGTAGTGTCTAGTGTAATTGTATGGTGCACATGCAATATGGTGGTGTCCTACCCAGTTCTGTTCAGTGAAGTGACATCAGTCGCTTGAAAATGGCCCCAGGGGAGTATTTACCCCACAGAAATAGGCAAATGCTACAGATCACACTTTGCAATTCCCTACCCCCACCATGACAATAGCCAGTTGATTAACCTTTACCAGCATATCACTGGCCATCACTTTTGGGTTCTATACTTGTCTGTTTATGTGCCTGACCTTGCTGCAAGACTGTGAGTTTCTTGAGGTTTGGAATTTATACCCATAGGACCCAGCACAGTGCTGGGCAAATAGTTGGCAGACAAGTGCTTATAGAGTGAATTCATATTCTTTCAGCTCTTGATTCATATCTGGCTTCCTCACTTGCCTAGCTGTATGACCTTGGTTATTGTAACCTCTCTTTATTAGTAAAATGAGAATAAGAATACCAGTGTCGCATTATTGTTGTAAGGACTAATGAAGAGATCTAAATATATGTCTAGATACATAGTAGGTACAAAAATGTAGTTAAAATTTATGATTACAACCAAAGAAGAAGGAGACATAAATGCTATTAGGGTCCAGACTTATACTGTATGCAGAGCTTTGTATTATGCAGAGCTTTGTATTAAGTGTTTGACCACAAACTGGATGAGAATCAAGAATGTGGCACTGTTATATTTGTGTGTGTACATACTTCTTCTTCCCACACAAAATAATGGGATATATTAAAAGGAATATGATATATAAGAGGCAGGAAGCAATCCCTCTGTTATATTTGGCTTTGTTCAGGCTCTTATTACAGTATCATGTCCAGTTTTACATTGCTCATTTTAAAGAGGATGTCAAAAAACTGTATGTAGTGTGTCCTGGGAAGAACCCAACAACTATGATTAAAGGGATAGAAAATAGGTCCTTTGAGGCAAGTTTAAGGAATTGAGTTTGTTTATTCTGGAAAGGGGACAGTAAAGGAGTTACTTAACTATCTTTAAGTACATGAAGGGTTATTATGAGGAGGATACTCTCATGTTGTTCTCCAAATGCACAGAGGCCCAAAAGAGGAAATCGACTTATTTCATTTAAAGAAAATTGTGTTAAACACTAAAATTGACTATCAAGGGATGTCATGGAATCTCCATTTTTGAAATATTTAAAAAGAGCAGCAGCAGATGGTTGGTTATTTATTGAAAGGTTTACATGTTTGACCTCATGAAAGTTACAGGCAGGCTTGTAGACCTTGCAGCTTTTTCACCTCTATGATAGTTTTCTTGTATTCATTGTAACTTACCATGCATATGCCAGGTATCTTACAAAGATTCTGTAACTCTTTTGTGACAGGGAATCCTCTTGGTATATGATATTACAAATTATCAAAGCTTTGAGAATTTAGAAGACTGGTATTCTGTGGTGAAGAAAGTGAGCGAGGAGTCAGAAACTCAGCCACTGGTTGCCTTGGTGGGCAATAAAAGTAAGTTATTAATGCTTATTTATGTGTAGTAATATATTTGCCTATCCCGTAGTCTTTATTCCTATAAAAACGTTGATGTTTAGAAACATAAAAGATACAGCTTTCCTGGAGTAAGTACATTGCTGGAGGAGAACATTTTTAAAGATGTATACAGTCTTTTCAGTAACAGTTTTGATGCTTGATCCGTCATTAACTGCTCTGCTGCTTTGGCCAGTTCCTGTTCAGGTAAGTTCTGTTCTGACCGTGTGTGTTTTGGCTTCCTGTGGTCTGAGGAAGCAGCATGGACTATTAAGAACAGCAACACAGCTGCAGATTTTATGATACTGCACTACAGCTTCAGCTCTGCCCCAGAGATTTTGAGAGAGAGATTTCATTAAATGGTCCCCTTTTCTAGGAAAGAAAGCAGTGTCTGGGTGGAATTTGTGTGCATTGTTCCTTGCTTGCATCTCTCATAAACTTCTCTTTCTAAATTTTTGGGGTTCTAAAAAATGTAGATTTTTTTTTTTTTTTTTTTTTAAGGAAGAGTGTATTGGGGGATGAGTAGTGCTTGGTAAAAATGGTGGATAAGTAATTTTTGAGATCTGTCTCTTGGGCTATGATATACTGCCTATAAAATTATAAGACTGAATTTAGTACAGGACTGTTAGTTGGTTCATAGTCCTACAGTGCAGTTACCTGGAAAAGGAGACATTAATAAGGGTTTTTAAATATATAAAATATTATGATATGACCTAATCTTCTACAACTATTTGAGGTCAGAAAAAGAGAAAATGAATTTAAATTATACCATGGAGGATTTAGGTCAGGAACGGTTTCCTGACTACAAGCGTTGTTAAACCAATACCCAAGTATACTACCACGAGAATTATCTTCTCCAAAGGTCTTTAAAAGTATAGTGCATTTTTTTCTGTGTAATTATTTAGGAAATAGTACTTCCTAAAGGACTAAACCAAGATTTCTTCATTATGTGGTTTTGCACACTTAGATGAACATTTAATAAATCCAAGCCTTACTTTAAAATCATTACAAAACAGGTGTGGATACCATTTCTCTGAAGAGTTAAAAATAGACATTTTATAATACCTTTTTAGAAAATAGTATTATATATCTTGAAATAGATGTCTTGGGTAAAAGATATAGTTTTTTAAAGCTTTAGTTTAATTTTGCTCTTCTGTTCCGTAAATATTTCTAATTGAATGAATCAGATGCTTTTAAATTCATTGAAATTCTCCTTTAAAAAGTTTTGATGACCTTAGGTTCTCTTTCTGAGTGCAGCTTTCATTTTAAGAGATCATTTCTTAGTTACCATGTTACTGAAGCACTGGCTTGTATTATGGTTAAATTTGTGCTTTATTAGCAGTTTCTCATCACCTTATAGGAAATTATAGAGTAAGAAAGGGATGGGGGTTGAGACTTGTTTTCATTTCTTTCAAGACATAATCTGACTACCATCTGGAGTAATGGTGTAGTGGTGCATAATTATATACATTATGTGTTTATGTGGTCCTATGAGGCATCTGCCATTGGTCACTGTCAGAGAGGCTATCAGATTGGATGGGCTTTTGGACTGTGCTGATGATGCCATTCCTAAGTTTTTAAAAACAAACATTTATATAAGTTATATGAATTTATGAACAAAATTATTACAGTGTAATGTTTGAGATTTAATAGCATAAGAAGTTGAATTTTTTAGCTTTTGGCTTAGCTCTAACCCCTTCCTTGTATTTATAATACTCTCTTTCAGAATGAGATCATAGAATAAAGTATGCAGTCACACAGAATGTTACATTTGTAAAATGAAGAGATTATAAGATGAATATTTTCCTGGATATTATTTACTGCATAATCTGTCACTGGCCTGATTTCATATGGTCATGTAATAAAAGATCTTGAAATCTGTGTTTCCAAGTTGATGTTACATTAGTATAGTAGTGTATACTTATCTTCTGTTTGGGGGGACAAAATTATATTAAAAAGCAAAGATTTTACATATGGATTAAAGGCAAAGCAAAAGAAACATGATGGGAAGACATCTGAAACTGGATTATTATGTTCCTTATCTACAGAGAGTTATCTTCTACCTAAATGTGCTTTTTAAAACTCATCATTGTGTCCTGTTCGTTGCAACTTAGAAAGTTGCAAAATAGAAAGCATATGTTGAAAAGATATATGTATAGGCTATGAAAATATTGGCAGCAGGAGCCAACTTTTATTGTATTTTTAAAAAGGTTTTATTTTTTTTAGAGAGAGTATGTGTGTGTGTGAGTGAGCGAGCTGGGGTTGGGGGCAGACGGTGAGGGAGAGAGAGAGAATCCCAAGCAGACTCCATGCTGAGTGAGGAGCCAGACATGGGACTGGATCCCACAACCCATGAGGTCATGACTTGAGCTGAAATCACGAGTCTGACACTTAACTGACTGAGCCATCTAGGCACCCCAGCAGTAGCCAACTTTTAGCCAAAATTTAGCAGAAGGATAGGATAGACAGAAAATTTCTATACAGGGAGAGAGAGGAAGAGAGAGAAGGAAGGAGGGAGGAAGAGAAAGGGAGGAAGTGGAGAGGGAGTGTGCATATGTGTGTGTATGTGTGAATCTATTTTATAGGAAGAGCTTATAATGTTATAAGATAATTTGTTTTTTATTAAAATATCGTAAACTCACGGAAATTTGGGCTAAGGATTGAAGATAGTCTTAGGTAAGAATGAATTATGGGTTTATTTTTATTAAAAACTGTGTTTTATTATGTTTAAATATAATGCATAACTAGAATAGGTTAATGAAGTAGCCAGTAGAGGAAGGGATTTGCTTTTATGAAATAGAATTGTTAACAATTAAATTATTTCAGTGTATAATTTTTAAGACAAATTTATTTTAGTCTGTATTCTATTCTGAAAGGCTTTAAGACACTAGTTAGTATTTTTTCTTCATACTATTTAAGATTTTATTTATTTATTTATTTTTAAAGATTTTATTTATTTACCAGAGAGAGAGAGAGAGCACTCACAAAGGGAGAAAAAGCAGCAGACCCCCACTGAGCGGGGAGCCTGATGCAGGGCTCTATCCTAGGACCCTGGGATCATGACCTGAGCCAAAGGCAGATGCTTAACCGACAGGCGCTCCTGTACTATTTAAATTTGTATTGAGTTATGGTTAAGATCTTAGGGCTTTGAATTTCGGCATACTTTGCTTTTATAAGCCCAATTTCTTCACTTAACAGCAGTGTGACATCAGACTTTGTATCTAGATACCTCAACTTCTTCATCTGCAGGTAAGGAACGATAGCTGCTGTCTTGTAAAGTTGGTTTAAAGATTAAATGAGATATTACATGGAAAGCACTTAGCCTGTGATCTGTATACTGTAAGTGCTCAATAACTATTATCATCATTGTTACTGTCATTCATAATAGTCTTTTAAAAACACTGTAGCTTCAGTTTGAATGATCACAAATTACAAATTAGTAGAGCTGAAACAGATACTTTACAAAAGTGGTCTGGAGGTAAAGGTTCCTAGAGAATCCCTTTGTCATCATCTTATGTCTTGGGTTTTTGTTTTCTCTGTTTTTTTTTAGATTGATACTTCTCGTACCATATCATGGGTGGGGCAATTCAGTTCAAACATTCTGGAGTGCTAGCAATGTGTATTCAGTTAGACGTTCATTTACACAAAGGCTGAGACAAAGAGAGTGCTTAAGGAGTGATAGGGACCTCTTAGTCTTAATTTTAACCTTTAATTAGTCTTAATTTTATTCTTTTGCTTAGCTGCCTTCAAGTTTTCTAAAAATTTGAATGCCTTTCTTTTGCTCTGTTTGGTTGTTGGGATTAATAAGTATAATTATGTCCAAATCTTCATGGAAGGCCCTACTTTTCCCTAGCAAGGTAAGCATAAATTCCTGGTAGGTAACTTCCAAAATGGGAACGAGGGTAAGTCATCTACTTATTCGTGAACTTACAGAACTTCTTTTGAAGTTTGATGGTGTCTGTAGCCCGATGTGGAATGAAACAACTGATAGGCACCTGGAAACCATTCTATTACCATCTGAGGCAATTTCTGCAATTCACAGAGCCAGATCTATGAGGTCTGGTAGCTGATTTCCTGGCCTTGAAAGTCTTGCTCTCTCACTTGATCAGAGACTGCACCGTGAAGCCTCAGCGTTTTCTATTTATGTCTGCTTCTGGGCTTATTACAGGTGGACCTGGCCATGGCCTAACACACCATCATCACCTCTCATGTGAATTATTGCAGTAGCTTCCTAACTGTCCCTCCTGCTTCTGGCTTTGCTCTCCTACAATCCCAGTTGCCAAATGGCAAATCATGTTATTATGACTCTTCTAGTGCTTTCTCATCACACTTAGAATGAATTCCAAACTCCTCATCCAAATTTACCAAGCACTAGGTGATCGGGCTCCTACCTGCCTCTCAGACCTCCTCTTCTACTGTGTGTTCCCTTGCCACTAGATGCTAAGGCACACTTGTCTTTTTTTTTCTGTACTTAAAACATTCTAAGTTAATTTGTACCATAGGGTTTCTTCTGCTTGAAATACTTCTGGTCTCTGCTGGACTGGCTCCACTTTATCATTTGGATCTCATCTTAAATGTCATTTCCTCAGAGTTCCCTTTCTCGGCCACTCAGTGTAAACAGGCCATGCAGTCCCTTTCTCTCAGGACGTTCAGTTTCACTTACCTGTGGAGCTTCAGTGCCATCTGATGCTGTTCTTGTTTGCTTCTTGTCTGTCCTTCCCCACTAAAATCTAAGCTCAATGAAACCTAAGGACCTCATCACTGAGAACAGTGCCTGAATGAGTGAATACTGAATGAATGAATAAAAGCCTTTTCATGAAGCCTCCATTGAAATCAGAAGTATTTATGGCCCGGGATGTGTTATTAAGGAAAAATGCTTTTCTTAATGAGGAAAAATACATGTGTAGATACAGGGAATCTGTTAGATGGCCTTTGGGCCCCACTGGCCTACTGAATTCCACCTTGGTGAATGTGTCAGAGAG